CGTGTCCCCGTAAGGCCTGCAAACAGAAAGATTCTGGCTAAGTAAGACCGTTATGCAGATTAAAAGATGTGTCATGCAACATTTTCAGAAATGTAGAAACAAGGTGATATCCAAGGACAGTTATTTTATCAATCTAATATTTTGTGAAGGAAAAATAGTTGCAGACAGTATAAGCAACAATAGGTCCTAGAATGAAAGTTTAGAGAATTCAAAATTATGTTGTATATTACCTTTGAACTTTTACCTTCGATATCTTAGATGTAGCAACATGAAGACAAGGGCGAGGATAAGAGAAGAAGAACCAACAAAGACAAAGGCAAGACCAAGGAAGTCATTCTTTCCCCCCAACCAGCTTGATGTTGAAAGAACAAGCTTCTTTTTACCACTAAAACTGTATGTGTTGTAATTGTTCATTAGGTGGACCATTACAACATCATCCACATCCAAATCCTCTTCAATTCTCCCATATAATTTTCGGAAGCTAGGGAGAGCAGATATACGCATCCATACGATAAGATCCTCCTGATCGCTTAGCTAATTATTTTCATGCATCCATTCACCGGTTCCAAGAAGAGCAAGAAAAACAAAACCAAAAGATTATTTTATATCTCAAGCTTTAACCGAATACATAACTGAAAAGGAAAAGGCTGTATTAACATGATGAAAAGAAAAAAAGTGGTGCTTGCAGGATATCTGCTAGTTGGTTGTTTCGGAAACAGGTATTCTTAGTAGTAAACAAGTAATTTTGTGCTAGACGACAAGCATCAGAAAGACCATAAAGAAAGTCTACGTACAAAGCTAATACTTACAGGAATTCTTGGATTCAGCTTTCCACCACCAATCAAGGTTCCATTCTGGAAATTGTAAGGATATACTTTCTTTCCAAACTTGTGATCCCGGTCACTCTTCCAGGCAATGTTCTTTCTGTTGACCTTGAGTTCTGCTCTCTCACGAATAAATTTAAATGTATCATTAAATAAACTCCATGCTATCAACCCACAAGGGACAATAGTATGATCATTGTTGAACTCTACAGGTTGACAGGAACTTGTGTCATGATACTTCTGTCCATGTAAGAGTTGCTGATCGCTTTTACTTTTGACATACCTGGAAAACATTTAAAAACAATGAAGTGCAGATTGAAGAAAAAGTGGAGATTAAACCAAGAATAACTTGAAATTTGGGCTAATTGTAAGTAACACACAAGTAAACTACTAAGCTAAAAATAAATTTTGTATGTGGGCTCAACCATGAAAAGTTATTTTAACCACTGAAGGCAAACGTAGTGCAAAAAGCTCCTTAATAGTTCATCAAACAATTTAGTGGCTACAGATCAAATTATCTTCAATGTTGATGAAGCTAAAGCATTAAACTCATCAAGTCAAAAGAGCCCTCACCGTCGATGGTTCTGGTAATAATTATCGAGCTGATAGTAAATGTAAATTGGAGCTTTCATGTACTTGTGCACCTGCAAAGCAAGTTATAGATGCAAAATTAACAAATGTGAAAAAAAAAATAATTAGAAGGGACAAGCATTTCACAGTGAATAAAAGTTTTCAACATCAATCCATGGAGTATATAAACAAAGAAGTGCCACCAAAAACCAGTAACATGCAATTTACTAAAGACCTCAGGAATGACATTCTACTAAGAATAATGCACCTACACATGAAGCGAGTAGCTGCTTGTCTCTCAGCATCCACCACATAAAATAAAAATGACTTACTAAGTATATGGTAAAAAAGGATAGAAAAAAAAACTATCTACAGAAAAGTGAAGAAATGACCAGAAGTCAAAGTGTTGGATAGTTCAAAAGAAAGAAATAAGTGAAAAGTAAATGTTCTAATCTTCCTCAAATGTGCATTTAATTTAATTGAAAAAGAAAGTTAATTTAATTTTATCAACTACTTCAAGTATGATTGACACAGTAGACCAACTAGAAGTCAATCTAGAAATACAGAATGTTTTAAGGCTAACCATTAGTTCAGTTACCCTTACTTCCAATTCCAATAATCTCCACTGCCATAAGTAAAAGGAGATTTTAATTTATAGTAAATTTCAAAGGTTGTGATAGGAATATGTACTTCTCCAGAAAGAAAGAGACACTCAGTCACTGACATTCTCTACAGCAGCGTAATGCATTCTAATGACTAAAAGAAATGGTTGAAGATATAGCTTGGCATAGATTGAAATGCATGGCACTTTCCAGTAGCAATTCCCAATGGTCAGGAGAATATTCTAAACCGCCTAAGCCAACTTATATATAAACTAGAATACTTAAAAAGGTAGCATAGATTTTCACATGGAAGATAGATTCTATGCAGAAAGGAAGTATCACCTTCAAGAAACGAGAACAGTTCTTCGGAATCGAGTCATCCTGGATATATGAAATTTTATCAATTCTAAATGGCTCTGGTACACATTCAGCATCATATCGGTCCACAATTTCAACAACCTACCGATCAAACAAAAAAGGTTATTCACAAGTATGTTCTCAATATAACAATGAATGCTTGGAAAAGAAGTGTAATAAACAGCCACATTAGATGACAAGAGCCATAGAATGGACAATTACACTACGAGAAGCACGCAGAGTAACAAGGCCAACAGGAATGAAAATGCAACCCGTAAACAAAAATATTGTAATAACCTGCAGAAATGAAGACGACAACTATCAATAAAATTGGGGAAATTACTAGCTCTGGAGACAGCCAATATTACAAAGTGCAAGATAAATATTAGCCAAAAATGAATAAAGCATTCATGTATTAAAGATTGCAGTCATGCTCTCACCCATGCTGGTGTCAGGACAGGTTTGCAAGCTGGAAGTGTTTGCTGAGTAAACATATAAAAAGCTGCAAAGCCACCATAACAAGATCAACAATATATTAATGAGGCAATATTTTATTGCTCACCAGACTATGTAGCAAGTAGCAACCAGAAACCCGAAGAGAGATTAATTCTAAAAGAAAAATAAAATAGAAAATGATTGTAGACAGCTTTGCCACCACTTTATATAATATGGTAGTTCAGATATGAAGGCAATGATTAATGAAAGGCAGGCATAAAATCAAAATTTATGCTTGTTTATTGATCATCCAACCCTCTGCTGTTAGCACAACTATCAATTCATTTCACTCTTTTCAATGTCTTGTGACCAAGTATAGTCTCCAAGATGTAACAAATCATTTCTTGCTTGTATCAGACTTGTACATTGTGCTAATGTTTGTGCAGACATACATAAAGAACAAAAGGACTTGTATGCTGTATCAGCTATGTTTGTTTATATGTCTTCACATGAACATGGAGCTTGAGCACATGCATATGCAGATAGGCAAGCATAAGTATGCATGCGTCTAGGTGGTAGTGGGTATGTATGAATCTAAATAAAACAAAAGCAAACAAAATTATTAAAACAAAAGCCTCAAATACCAAAAATAAAAGAAGAGTGAAATAGCAAGAGAAAACCTGTTTCCTTGTTTCTGTCTCTCTCTCGATCTGTATCCGTCATTTCTCAATCTAAGCAGTGATGCTCTACCACTACACTAAATATTGCAATCCTTTCAAGCGACCTTTGAGTTTCCATATAACAACACAACAAAAAATAGCACCCTTAGACAACCCACACCAGAAATAAAACTTCATTTCAATCTGTTCGTGAGAATAGGAAACAAAAACTTCTATAATGTATTTTTATCTGTGCATTGATACCTAAAACTCAGAATTAAAACCTACTATTATAGAAGATAATTCATCTAAATTCTACATTTCATCATCTTCATAGTTCAGTTCACTTCAAACATTTCTCTGAACACAGACATTTTACAGAGTAAATTCCACCTTCCATTTTCTTCCTTTTCCCAATTTCCTTCCCTACGTTACAAACAGATAAATATAGTTCCAATTAAACTCAAACAGATAGTAATCTCATCTTAGCTCTGAATCTAAAATCTTTGTTTTGCAATTTCCCAGCAATCAAAGACAGCATAAAGTTACAAATTGAAATATATAATAATTTCACCAATCCTGAATCCAATATTCCACCCTAAAAGATAAATAAATAAATAAAAGAGAGAAAAATCTGATCTATGAACCTACACTATGATTTATTGAGTAGAATTTCTTTTTTACTAATTTGTCCAGGAACGAAGTGATAAACGATTCCCTCCAAAAAAAAAAAATTCTTGTTTCACTTTCTTTTTCCTCGCATTTTCTCGTTAACCAAACATTAAAGAGTAAGAACCGTACCGAAAAAGTCAGCTTGAGCGAACTTGCGGCAATTTCTTCAGCTCTGATCAGATAAAAAAGAAAAAAGAACTGGAAAATGAGGATAAGATCGAATGAAAGGAAAAATGAAGCGAAAAAAGAGAGAGTAAGTTTTACCTAATGCGATGAGACTCAGTTGAGAAATTTGAAAATGGGAGTTCCGTTAGGGTTCTTTTCTTCTTTCTTTTTTTTTTTTTTTGGCCCTTTTATTCGTTAATTGAAGAGGAAGTGAGAGATTGCTTTGGTCGAGGAAATTGGAATCTTTTGAATCTATAAAAAGAAAGAGAAAAAACTGTATTTCAATTTTCAAGAGGGAAAGGGTAGTTGTCAAGCAACTGAAAATTAAATAAATAAAGGGAGGTTGAAAATTCATTTTTTTCTTTTCTAATATTCTTCTATTATTATTGGTTTATTTGGATCTCACTGTAAGCTTTATTATTTATTTTCTCATTCTTATAAAGAAATGAAGTTTTGGTATTGAAAAGCAAAATTAAAATCTTAAATATAGTTTTTAGTATACCTAAATAAATCAAACATTTTGTTATCAACTATTTAATTTAATTGTTTAATATACAGTTTATTTTTGCATTTTAGACATTAAATATTCCTTCTTTTGGTATTTCTCGTAACAAACCCAACTAAGCAAAATAAAGTTAAACAAAAGTTAATATTGGCAAGGAAAATTATTAGTACATAATCACTAGTGTAAATCACAAAAATGCTCCCCACTTAGCATGCTTCCCGCTCAACGGTCAAGACATTTTCTCTACTCTTTCCCCCCCTTTCCTGCCACCCAAACAAGGCTTTTTAGCAGCACCTTCTCCTCTCTACTAAACCTATGCAAGAAACCACAGCATCTACAACAAATCCATGCAAGATTCATCCTCCATGGCCTCCACCAGAACCCAACACTTTCCTCTCATTTCATTGATTCCTATGCCAACTTTGGCCTCCTCAACCTCTCTCTGCAACTCTTTTATTCCATTACCAACCCAAGTTCACATCTTTATAACACAATTTTAAGAAATTTGGCAACTTTGGGTGAACATAAAACGACCCTTTTGGTTTACAAGGACATGTTGGTAAAAAAATCCATGTACCCTGATGAGAAGACCTACCCTTTAGTTCTAAGAGCTTGTTCTTGTTTGTTAGATGTTGAGTGTGGGAAAATGGTTCATGGGCAGTTAGCAAAATTGGGTTTTGATTCCTTTGAGGTTGTGGGTGATGCTTTGGTGGAGTTCTACAGGGGATTTGGTGAGTTCGAGCAAAAGGTGGTTGATGAAAAGCCTGTTAAGGATTTGGATAATTGGAAAAGTTTGATTTTTGAGCCACCTCGGAGCGGAAGTTCGGTCTCTATGATTAATTTGTTGAGGGCAAGTGTTGATTTGGGTTCATTGGATACAGGCAAAGCTGTTCATTGTTTGGTTCTAGTTAGTGATTTAAGTAAGGATTTGTCTGTAAGTACTGCTTTATTGTCAACGTATTCAAAACTAGGTAGTTTGAAATATGCAAGGTTGTTATTCAAATATATGCTGGAGAAGGACCTTGTTGTGTGGAATATAATGATTTCTGCTTATTCTCAGCATGGAAAACCTAAGGAATCACTTGAACAATTGAGGTGCATGGCAAATTCTGGGGTTAGAGCTGATTTGTTCACTGCTATTCATGCTATTTCCTCGATTAGGCAGTTGAAATCTTTTGCGTGGGCCAAACAAATCCATTCTCATGTTATAAGAAATGGTTCAGATTATCAAGTGTCGGTTCATAATTCTCTTATTGATATGTATTGCGAGTGTGACTGTTTAATTTATGCGAGAAAGATTTTTGACAATGTAACAAACAAAACTGTGGTTTCATGGAGCTCAATGATCAAAGGATATGTAAACCATGATCAGAATCTTGATGCCCTTTCTCTTTTCTCCAGGATGAAGACAGATGGAGTTAAAGCTGATTTCATAACAGTTATCAACATCTTGCCTGCATGTGTGAATATAGGGGCACTAGAACAAGTAAAATGCCTTAATGGGTACTCAATGAAGTTTGGTCTGAATTTGCTGTCCTCTGTTAATTCAGCACTTCTTATCAGTTATGCAAAATGCGGATCCATAGAAATGGCCAGAAAGCTTTTTGATGAAGAAAAAGTTGATGGTAAGGATATCATAACATGGAACTCTATGATCAGTGCACACGCTAAGCATGGGGACTGGTCACAATGTTTTGACTTGTATAATCAGATGAAGCAGTTGAATCTGAAACTGGATCAAGTTACCTTTCTTGGGCTACTGACTGCTTGTGTCAATTCAGGCCTTGTTAAAGAAGGCCGGGCATTTTTTAAGGAGATGAGGGAAATCTATGGTTGCCAACCCAGCCAAGAACACTATGCCTGCATGGTGGATTTACTAGGGCGTGCTGGGCATATCAAAGAAGCCAGAGAACTTGTCAATGAAATGCCGTTCAAACCAGATACTCGAGTGTTGGGCCCCTTGTTGAGTGCCTGTAAGCTGCACTCTGAGACCAAGTTTGCAGAGTCTGCTGCTGAGAAACTTCTAAGAATGGAACCAGAAAATGCTGGAAATTACGTTTTACTCTCAAACATATATGCAGCTGCAGGAAAGTGGGATAAATTTGCTAAAATGAGGAGACTTCTTAAAGAGAAAGGACTAAAGAAAATCCCTGGCTGTAGCTGGCTACAAATAAATGGACATGTACATGAGTTTCGTGTTGCCGACCAATCTCATCCAAAAGCAAAGGACATATATGCTTTAATAGGAATACTAGAGTTTGCAATCAAGGAGGCCAGAGATCACACTGCTGGGAAAGTTTCTCAATGATCATTTTGTTCACTGGGGAATTCGCAACAGATTTTAGGTAGTGCAGATCGCAAGTGATTGACCTTTATAATTTACATGAAGTTTACACCAAAGATATGGCCAAAAGAGGCTAGATTCAAGGAAGAAAATGAAGCAGCAAGCAGATCCAGTCCAGCCAGCATTTTGTGGTGCCTTCTCTTTTGAACCAGCTAAGATAAGGTATTTTCTGGTTTGCAGTAAGTTTTCTCCATGATTTCTTATCGATTTCACATCAACATGCAAGCCAGCTAGAAATACTCAGGATATGCCTTGCTAAGGCTGCTCCCAAATCAGACATCTCTGGCAGCCTTTCGCCATTTCCATGTGAGAACCTAAAATGAGAAGTTGCCATGTTTGAAGCTCTTCCAAAGTTCCTAGCATCCTGTGCATAGGAGGTGCGTTTTCAGTGGTACTTCCAGTGTTAGATTTTGTCATTGATGTATTGCTTTAACTTCTGTAGAAGTACATACTTTTTCAAATATTATTATGCTGCCTAAAATTGTGAACATCCTACATCTAGCGTCATTCAATGAGTTAGATCAACCCGGGGTTGAATAGTGAACTAGTTTTGTTTCCACATTGAATCACTACAGGTTTAACCTGGCTGAATGTGGATGACCAGTTCCATCTAAGAACTGGGAAGAGCCTGCATAACAAATGATACTGGATTTTTTCTTCTTCCTTTTTTTTGGCAGGTTGGGGGGGGTGTGGTGGGAAGAGAACAAGACTTGGTGCTTTGTACAGGTAAGTGGCGAAATGGTTAATCTTAGATCTTTACTACAAACACCACCACGAATTCTCACAAGGCATGTGTGTGATATTTTATATATGATTCTATTGAAATTCAGTCCTTAAGCACTTGTCGGATTCTTTGAATTCCCGATGATACTTTCTCTGGTTTTGCTAATGTCAACTCGCAGACATTTGTATAGTTTGGGCGAGAGTTGCTGATTGATTTTGGATAAATGCTTTGGCCATGGTGTTCTAAGCAAGTACAATGATAAGAGAAAAAGCAGCTTCAGTCTTGCATGAATCCAAAGGAAATTACTCCAGAAGAACACAGATTTAAATATACTCTTAATTAAAACTTCACGGGAAACAAAGATTGAAAGTTTTGCCCCTTTGCAGAAACAGCATTGCTATGCACATGCACGTGCACATATCATTTTAACCAATTCGTGATCAATCATTGGAACGAGACGTATAGTGAGCTGATAATGTTGGTTGGGGATATTTGTAAAGGATGGCATTTCCCACTTAAATGCAGCAGTGCGATGAGAAGAGATGCTGCGGGTTTGTTTTCATGATACCTTGAAGAACGAAATATACCTCACAGTTACTTTGTATCATTTCAGTTGTAAGACTAGATGATGTACAAAATTTTGGCACTGATTGGTCTCCACCATGAATATTAAACACCCTAAAGATTCTCTCTTGCAAGCCTGTTCCTCTCAGTGATTGGACTGTAACCTTCGCTTCATAATTTTTTTTCCTTCCAATCATATGCATATGAGTTTAACTCAAACTCAAAGCCATGGTCAGTCCACACTCCCAAGGATTGCTGACAACTGGCATTCTTCATAACATCTGGTCAACCTACTAAAATTGTTGTTTACATATTGGAAAATTTGACGAGAACCTCAACATTGAACAGATTACTAAGTGTACAATTAAATATAAAATGATTTAAAATAGCATCCATGATCAATATGAACATAATTATCAATAGTCAAAATTGATTCATTGGATCAACAAGGCCCAACACTGACAGGAGGTTTTTCAGCAACCATGACAGCTCTTAAAACCTCTTCTTGCACTATTTGTTATACATCTTCTGCATCACTCTGCTCTTCTTTTGGAGCACTCTTTCCAATCTGTGGTTGTTTAGAAGCTGAGAAAGGAATAGAAAATCATTGAATACCAATTACAATTCACAATAAAGCAAGCATGAGGTTCAGAAACACCCAAAAATCATCCAGACAATGCTAGCAAAATAAAAGATAATAGAATGCTTCAGTATCATAATCTTTTAGCATTGTCAGCATAACATGCTATTATGAAATAAAAGAGCTATACATAGTGCATAAATAATTAAATACACACTCCATACACAGTTAACAGAGTCCTGTAAGAAGCTCCTGTAAGAACTTATGATTAGATAATCCCATTATTTTACAACAGCGTGCAACGACAATTAGAAAGGTTACATTGATGGCAATGAGAGTCAGCAATAGCCATAATTTACTAGATGAACAAAATGCGTAAATAATATATAAGAACAAGCAGAATACTCACATTTGAGAGAAGATCCAGCAAGACAAGTCAGCCTGGACTTTGTATTAGCCTCAGCCAATGGGTTTGGCTTCCCTTTGATGGCCATGCGAACATCCCAAACACGTATAAACCCATCGGATGATGCAGATGCCACTAAATATGGAGCATCATCGACACCACCATCTTTGGTAAGCACAACAATACCTTTTACACGGGTAGAATGTGCATCCTCGAAGCAATAAGCAACCTTCCCACTGTTTGTGTCCCATGCTGTAATACTACGGCTCTCACCACCAGTAAATAAAATTCCACTCTGCCAAAATCATAACATGCATACAGAAATTCAAGTTATAAGTAAAAAGAGAGCGAAAAACATGCATAATGGAACAATTAGCATAAGAGTACTTAAAGAAATTTGTCAGAACTACAAGTTAAGTAACATCAGAATCCTATAAGTTCATCCGCTATAACATTCTTCTTTCAGGTATTAGTTTACCCAGCTTTGGAAGAATGCCGACATCTCAAAGAACAGCTTAACTTTGACATGAAACTAAGCCCCATCAAAATCATGTCATTCAATTTATATGCCTATAAATCATAAAACAGTAGATTTGTACCAAAAAATGGTTTAGCTAAGAGGTGAAATAATTGAGCTTGTAGCTGTTGATCTTTTTGCCTCTTCTTCTATAAACTTTTTAGCATAACATTATCAACTCACACTACAATTGAATCAACCAACAAAAAATAACTAAAACACTAACAGCCCACTACCAAAACATTCAATTTCTAACAGTCTTACAATTAAATACACAAACATAATTCATATGCCTAAAACTCTCTAGAAAGTTAAAGCAGTAAATTTTCTACCAAACATTTTCCATTTTCCTCCATTTCCCCAACCAACAAACGTAATAATTATATTTTTTAAAATTTTTTTTATTAAATAAAAAAATAAAAACTAACCTCCCCAGAAGCAGCACAAAGAACTCGTTTTTCATTCTCCAACTCAAACAACAACCTAGCATCTTCAGCCAAATGAACTCCAATTTTCTCCTCAGAAGCCATAAAAAACCTCTCTCCACTCCCATCAAATTTAACAATCGTCGCTTGCTTCCCCAACCTACAACAAAAGCTCCTTTTCCCTCTCATCAAATTCGACATAGCCAAACACCCATCACGTGAGACACTCAATGCAAGCTTCCCAGAAGGATGAACAGCCAAATCATTAATACCCCTTTTATGGGACCTAAAGGACTTGAGAAGAACAAAGGGTTCGGTGTCGAAGATGGAGATGGAGCCATCAGCGGAGGCGGAAAGGAGGTTGCGAGGGAAGGAGAGGTTGGGAGGGGAATAGAAGGAGAGGGTAGTGATTGAGGAGGAGAAGTGGTGGAGGGGACCGAGGGAAGCGGCGGTGGAGAGGTCGTAGATGTGGATGGTGTCGTCGGAGGAGCCCGATGCGGCTGCGGGCCCTGCGGCGGCTACGGTGGTTATGGGGGCGTTGTGGGATGGGTAGGAGAAGAGTTGGGTTAGAGTGAGCGTCTGAGAAGACGGGTCGTAGTTTAAGGGCTTGAGTCTGAAGCCCCAAATAAAACGTTCGTAGGAGCCTGCTATCAGCGACATGGCTGTGGCTGCGGGGATTTTTCAAGGAAGAGTGGGAAGAAAGGGTTTAGTTTGGGTTTAGCTATGTCGGGGCCAGTGAACCTTCATGTTGACAAAAATGCACGTTTTTTTTTTTAATTTAATGTGATAAACAATTAAAAATGAAAAAAAAAAGTAAAATTGTCCTGACTTTGACTGTAAAATTTGGCTCAAAAAACAAAAAAAATTCTTGAATTATATCAATTTTACAATTAAACTCTTTCATTTCTATGGTACTTAAAACATCAATTTTCTTTTACTTGTATCTAAAAGAAAATTTTATTTTTTTTATTTTATTCGAAGAAGCCTTATTTCTAAGGAAAACGTAAGGGGCATTAGTCTTAATACCAATTATTACCTGCCACGTAAGAAAGTGGCTGTTGATGTGAATTTGGAATGACTGCTGACGTGGAATTTTTTTGCTACCGATATGAAAATTTTTTGTATTTTTCTCGTTCCACATGTTGAATGTTAAAGGCTATTGGTTAGTTAAAATATGCAATCAAGGTAAAAATAAAAAAAAAAGGAAAAATTGACTCGGGAGGAAAAAGAAGACGACTTCTTTCTGATTTTAAGTATGGTGTGTTGGGTTTTGGGTTTTTGTCTTAATTTTTTCTTTTATTTCTTGAATATTAATGTGTTTAAAATTTATATATATATTTGAATAGTGTTTAGAATTTATGTTTATGGTTTGTTTTAAAAATGAGTTCCAAATATATGCTGGAAATTATAGAATTGATTTCCAATCTCGAGTTGATCTTAAAATTATGCTTTAAGCCTTCTTTGTTAATAGTTTCTTTGTGTTTGTGTGTGAATAGTGGTCCTATTGTTGCCATAAAATTGCAGTTGTTGATCATTTGATTGACTAAAAATGGAATTGGTTGGGTTGGAAGAATGATTTTTGTTGATTGGACCACTGTATTTATGTATCATTTTATCGATAAAAAATAGTATGGTTGGACCATTAATGTTAATCAAAAACTTTAAATAAATCAAAAGTGAATTTATATGTGGAGGCTGAGGTAACATATTTAATTAGAATTTTTTATATTAATAAATTTGTACATTCTTCAAAAATATTCTATTTGGATGGTAGGGAAGACTGTTTTGAAGTTGACTTTGATCTGCTATCATTTTGGTATTGAAAGGTTTATTATGGAGTTATGGTTTTCAATATGTCATCTATTTACTTTAAGATCTCTAAGATGGAATTTTCAAAAGATTGATGTTGGTATTTGATGATGAGATTGTTCTAGATTTAATTGCTATGCTGACAAAGTGGTATTCTATAGTTCTATATATTGTGACCATGTAGTTAATTAATAAGCTTGATCTGGTCGATGGCATTCCTTTTACTCCTCTGAGTATGGAAATGTAGAGGGTGAGAAAGATGAGGAAGCTGAGGGCAATGTTGAGGGTGACCATAATGAGAGCAACAAGGTAATGACATAAATGCCTCTATGGATGATGAGGATAATTTAAATGATAATGAGCTTGGTAAGTCTAGCATTATCGATGGCGTTGATGAAGATGATTATGGGTTGATATATAGGAAATGACCTGCAATTAGGAGATGCTTTATAATCGGGTTTGAGTGTTTAATGAAAATGATGATGAGGACATCCGAGAGACTCGAAAGATATTAAAAGAATTCAAACAAAAAAGAGGTAAACAAAATGATGACTTAAGAGGACACAATTATTGTAGTTCTTGATGAAGTTGTAAATTAAAGTGATATTGATAGGGTTGATGAAGGTCATGGACAGTTAAAATTAAATATGGATATTATTCTAATGATGCCTAATCTGATAAAAATATGGATATTATTCAAAATAATGAAAAATAATGTAATATGGTAATATTATTATGTGATATTTTTATTTTTATCTTTTTTTTCCAAATTTAAGTATTTTTTTTTAATTTGAGCTTGTTGGAGTGTTTTAAGAATATATATATATATAATCATCTATTTAAGTTATTAATGAAAATCAATCTCTATAAAAATGTTCAAATAATCTGCAGAAGTTACTATTCAAAAGCAAAGTGATTGATTGACTTGAAAATTTTACCTCCATTAGGCTAGACTATTGGTTTTGGTATTTTGGATGAGAAAGACCAATGATTTGGGCCATAAGCCATAACCTTATTGCAAATTAACGATAAAGATGACTAATGAGATCAATTACCATTATAATCAATTATCAAAATATGAATAATTTTGACATACTGATTGAAAAAATTTTAAATCATTTAAAAAAAATTTAATCAAGTTCATATACTTTCATTTGAATCAAATAGACTATTTTAATTAATAGTTAATTAATTATCATTAGTTAATATAGTGGTAATATAAAAAATAAAAAATATCACATAATAATATTACCATATTACATTATTGTTCATTATTTTGAATAAAAAATAAAAATAAATTAAAATTTTTAAGTATCATATCTATAATTTTTTATTGAATATATATTTTTTCATGTAGTAGGGATCATCAATTTTTTGCCAATTTTGCTACTAGTACTTGTTTTTGGAGAAACATATTTTTATTTGAAAAAAAAAAAAGATTGATTATTTATATTGATGACTAGGCAAAGGTGATGGAGCTCTATGTATTTTTTAATCTTCAATTTTCTTAAATTTAACATTCCAAATTTCTGTGAATCTCGGCTCAAACAGGGGGACCAGAGCAGGAGTTTGCAAAAAATGTGGACTTTGGTCAAGAGGCCGAAGCCGAAACAAAACCCTAGTTCACCAAAAGTGGGTTCCTGCTGCACCTTCAAACGGTGTAACGACAAACACTACTCTGAGTCCGAGTACGAAACAAATAAAATAAAAGCAAAATCCTGAAACTATGTGGTCTCTCCATGGTAGTAACAGAAGAATCGTTGGACGGGGTTAATTTTAAACTTGTTTCTTCTGCATACCAAAATACTATCTCCAAAGTTCAAGCCATGAGTCAAGAACGGCAACAACCTTCTCCTGCTCCTGCTTCTCAGCCTGATCATCCTCCTCCTCCTCCTCCATTCGATCCCAGTCGAAGTAACTCTTTTTTCTCTATTATTTGTGCTTTCTGGGGCTTCTTTGTTTTTTCTTCGAAGGGTTTTGCTACCTCTGCTTCATATTTTCTGTTTTATCTCTCTCTTAAATTTGGGTTTCTGTTGGTTAGTCGATTTGGATTAAAAAGAAGGTGTTGTAATGGGTATTGCTTGGTTTGCGATGTTCCCAAAGAAAAAAAAGATATGCTTGAATTTTCTGCTTTTGCTTTCTGTGCTGATATGTTGGCAAAGTTCTTAATTTTGGTTTCAAGACGCTGAGTAATTAATTGTGATGTGTGTTTATAGTACTTGAAGTAGCTCTGATTATTTGTTGAAACTATCTGTTGGTGTAAAGGTGCTATCTTGGTTGACTTAATTCTATTGCTTTAACCTATATATTAATCTGTTTCTGATTGAATTTTTAAGGCTAATAATTGATTAATTCTTACAGTCGGTTGCTTCAAAAAAAACTAGCTAACATTGTTCTTTTTTTTTTTTGGTACAAGGCTAACATTGGTATAAACTCATACGCATGAATGCAAATTTAAGCATCTTCTATTACTTAAATTTTCAGATGGTTGGAAATTATAGCTATCATGGTGTTGATGAGAGGAAGGGTTATAGTTTGACGTTACATTTAGTCAACCAGAGTGGTAGCTTTATAAAATTGACTGTCTTGGATCTGAAAATTTTTTGTTAATGGGTTATTTGGCTTGGGAGGGTGTATGATTTTGTGATTATCCTGGATATAGGCGTTTAATTAGTTTCTCTTATGAATCTCACACTCTCTGTATCACTTCATATCTCAAAACTATTTATATATGTGCAGTGATTGGTATCATTAAGAGGAAGGCCTTGATAAAAGAGTTAGCTGCTGTATATCACGCAGAATGCCTTGCATACTGTCAAGAACTTCTGGAGCTTCAGAGAAAGTGGGATGAGGTATTTCATCTATGCATCTTTTGAGTAACTATCTTCTCATCAAATTTAATAAATATATAGAACATTTCTTAACTTTAAAATGGATGATTATTGTTATCACTTACCTTACTGCAATTAATTAATCTAGTTGCTCTTTGGTCTTTGGATCTCCTAGGTGCAACTGTAGCATATATTACTCTTCCTCCAGTCTATGATATGAGGAATCTGTTTGGCAAAACCTTAGTTTGTGCTTCTTTTTGTTTACCTATGTCTAGTCTGTAGGATATGCAAATGTTTGCTGCATAAGTAAACATATTTGAACCAATCTGAAGTGCTGCTAATCAGAGTTGGCCTTTTAGAGCTTAGTGAGGAGATTTTATTGTAGATATTATTGTGTAGCAGCAAACCCAGAAAGGAGTAGCAAATATCCCATTTCCATTTATATGCTGTTATCCCTAATCTTGGGTTCATAGAGGTCCATGGCTAATCTTCTCACCCCTGCTGTTAAGATCCTATAAAATTAGCTTTCAATCTAACAACTTTCATGGCTATATGTTCCTGGTAATAGTAGTAATCAACTGTGGTACTCATTTTCTCTCTGTTTGCAGCCATTTATTGATGTTAAAACACCTGATGATTTGAGGAAAGAGAAAATGAGGCCCCCAAAACGTCTGAAGAAGTCACGCTAAGCGTATTGTAAGAGTTGAGCCTAATCTTATACACAATGTTATATCTATTTACAATTTTTAAACTCTGCTGAATTTATAAATGCAAGTTCAAGATGCATCATGTTGCCCAATTTGCAGTTTGTTAAGTTGTCAGCAATACTTTGCCCTCATTTTTTTATATGGTCAGCTGATAACAGGCATTAGTATTTAGCCGTTCTTGGTTATGCCTATTCGCAGGTGATAAGATGGCTCTGCAATTTCATCAGTTTCCTGCATTGACATAGGGAACGTCTCTCTAGATAGCTAAGCAAGCAAGCAGAGGCCAAAAGCAATGGGAATCACTCCAGATTTATGATTACCATTGATGTACTGTATTATATGTAACATGAGGATGCATTACTTCACAAACAAATTTATGGTGTTGACACTTTGTATCATAGTCAAGCGAGCTAATGTTCTTAACCATCCACATGTTTGATCCATTATACCTTGTCATTGAGCATTTGATACTACTTGGAAGCCCCAAGTATTGAGCTACATTTGTTTCTTCTGCATTTGCTTGTATTGCGATTTAGATTTTGGTAGCTTGCCTGGCCAGAATTTGATAGCAATATACTGTTTAGGGTCTTCACTGCTTGGGAATATGCTAACATGTGAGATCTAAAATGGAAATGGCAGACAGGGTAGAGCATGTTTGTCATCATAGTTTGTTAATAATCCGCATATGAGAATGTCCAATGTAAAGGTGAGGGTGTCTAATTCCACAAGGCTACCTTTCACTTCCCCGTTAGGATGTGCAAAAAGTCCCAGACAAGGAATGTTCAAGAGCTTCTCACAGTTGTATTGGTTCTGTCCGAGCAGTCTAGGACTGGACTGCTACAACAGCCTAATGGTAATAAAGGATTAATTGTACAACAGAAACATCTTTTTTGGGCTCTAGTTATTTAAAACATTAATCTATACTCATTAGGCACAACCTTTCCATTGAACGGACGGTCTATCACTCAAAGAGATGTTCTTGTTTTCTTTTTCATTTTTCAGATACAGATAAACCTCTGCATAAAATCTTTATCCAAGGTAAATCATGATATTCAATTAAAATTTCTATATAAATCTGAAAATGGAAAAGTCGGTTAATTTGTATAAAAACTTGGTCCATAATCTGTTAACAGTTTCTGACATCTACCTTGTGTGGGTAACATTAGATTGCTAAAAGCACTGAAATACCTTCCATTCAAAAATCCTGAAGAGAACTAAAATTATCAGAATAGACAAACTATCATGAAGCTGAAAACCTGGTGCTCTCAGGATTATTTTAATTTCTCCTTTAGTTCGTTTACATGAGATTTTAAAACCTGCAACTATAGCAAAACTGTTGATTGTACACTTTCCATGCTCGTATTTCTCCAAAACCCTACTCTTATCTTTTGGAAGTAATGTGTATTTCTTGTTGAATTATCATCCTCTCATCATCTTTACCTGCAAAACAACATAAATGCAATGTAGTAAGGCAAAATCAAAAGTCAAACAGTCATTCACAGATGTTACAAGCTAGGACGTCAACAATATCTTACCTATGTCTTAACAATAGATGCCCATATCCTTCGGACTAGGCTATTCGGGCCAGTAGGAGAAGATATCTTTCCTTCAATGAGTTTTTCAGCTGCATGTCCCATTTCATGGACAAATTTTACAGACTCAGATAGTCGATTGAGTAGATTCATCAGGGCAATCACTTCATTCCGTTGCAACTGCAACTAGAGGTCAACAAAATGAACTTTAATGCAAATGACAAATTGTATACCCAAGAAAAGAAACAACAAAAAGTATCTTCGACAAATATGCTTAAAACTGGTTGCTAATGGAAACCTAGGATACATCCCGTGAAATGAAAATAAAAGCAAAAACCAGCTTCATAGAGATAATTTCACAAACTGATCTTTGTAGAGATCAACACCACTTTCTGTTCAAACAATGGCATTCATAGGCCATTTCAGTGGAAATAATTAAATAAATTGTGCACAAGATATAAACTATATCAGCCAGAATGGTGAACCCAATATAGCATTCATTCCTGTGACATATTAAAAAGTTTCGCTTTCAATTGTTTCAAATTGAAGTAGCCTCAGTATATCACCTTTGAGAAACTTGTAACTACTATTTTTCCTGGAATAAACATCAAGTGTAAAGCAATGCAAAGAATCTAGGTAGTATTTATAGTCAATAGATGATTCTCAACTAGAGGATTTTGCATATGTGACACCAAATTGTAGGCCAGGATTCCTGGAGGAAGAAATTCAATGGCTTCAAGAGAGCATATCCTATAAGCAAAAACGCTAGCCACATATCGGAAAAGAATCCATTAGGAAGAAATTAGAATGGGAAACTGAAAGTCAAAAAGTAGGAAATGGTACTTACAGTCTGACCCAAGTGCTCCTCACCATTAACAGAGAACAGAATCTTCAATGCAGTTCCAAGACCAAGAACCTGAAGCTTTCCCCAAAGCCGACATTTCTCACATCCTACACAGTCCATCAATGCACTACAAAGCCAATGACAATTGTTATGTCATTGCAATAAGCCACTTGAATCAGTGCACAGATATCAAATGTCAAAAATCAAAGAGAAAAAGGAAACAGTTCATTAAAGCTTCTTTGCTCATGAGGATCACTAAGAACCTGGAGAGAAGGTAAAAATACAATGTCAGATTTCATTTCCTCTTGAGGATGATGAGTTTTGAATGAATTCAGACGGTCTTAATGTGCTAACACAAATACGTTTTAAGAAAATGTAGTTTCCAGTTTTATATGTTTAACATCAGTAGAGATAAGAAATTGTAGCTTTTTACAAGCATTGCTGAAGAGGAATTGAGAGAAACCTGATATTTTTGAATTGTGCTTGTATTTTCTGTTTCAATTCGGGTCCTCTTTGTCCTTTCCACAACTTAGCTTCATCAAATGGGAGTGGACATGCAGCTTGCAGTTTTGAATTATAAACTAGTTGTCTCATTAGGGACTGTGTTTTTAGGTCCTCAGTGGGATTCCCAGTATTATATTCAGCTTGTTCCAAGTAATCAGCTGCCTGAAACCCATCGAGCTCTAGGAAGGTAAATGACTCCAGAATAAATATATACTCGAAAAGTAAACATCAAGGGAAAAGATTCATAAGTATTTTTCTCAACATGTAGTTTTGCTTTCGCCTACTTATGTGCTAGGCTGCTCAAGTACACAAACAGATTCATTATGTACTCATGCTACTCACCTTTGTCACAGCTCGGAGAACAAAGAGGAATGTGAAGAACAAGTTTTCAACACGATATGGATATCTTAAGACCCGATCATACATTAATTCGAGATTATTGCCCCACTGAAATCAGTAAAAGGAAAATAAAGAAACCATGTTAGACCTTTTTAAAAATCCAATGTGCCTAAAGTTTACAAATGAGCAAAAAAGACAAGCATTGAATGACAAGAAATTGAGAATTTATACCAAGTTTGTGGCTTCATCGAGTAGATAATCAGAAGCTATATGGATCGAAATAGATGAGTGAAGACCAGAAATCAATTTGTACAGTATTTTTTCTTCTTGGCATGACTCTTCAGATGGATCTGCATATCAGAGTAAAAATGAATAAAGGATTTGTGCAAAAAAGGGCTTCGGCATCCTTCATTCACACACACACAACCACTTAAAAGAAGAATAGAACTCACATTTGGGACAGTTCTCTGAGTAGACAGCATCCCATATCCTTCTAGCCGATGGACCGGTGTAACCAGTATAGCGTTCTGGGTTCAGTTGAAGATTCACATATGTCATCTCAGCTGCAAATGAAATTAGACAATCACTTAAGAGGATCACTTTTTGGAATATTAGTTTCAAACACCACCATTCTCACTGTCACTCTTATAATATCTGCCATTGCCAAGAGAGCAACAATAATCTTTACTGATTTGCATAAGCATCAATTAAATTTATCATTCTCAGGCGCACAAACAGCAAGATTAAGAGCATCCAACAATAAGATAAGCACAAAGATAAAACTGAAATATGTCAGAACTGTCAAGAAGAAATTTGGACTCACAATTATCTGTCTCGTCATCATGAGTCCAGGGGTTATCTGTTTCTGTCCACCCCCTAAAAGCTTTACTATCTAGCGTGCGGTCAACAGCAGCCTGTGGCTTTCCTTCTTGGCACATAAGGTCATCTGATGGAAGGCCTCGATGGTAGGGCTTCTTAAATAATTCAGGGAATTCACTTTCCGGACATTCACAAACACTACAGTCCCGCAAACGGCACATACCATCATCAGGCCAAAATGGACAGTCACACCACAACTTAACCTGCCCACGGCAATAGAAAATACCGGGCTTCAGAGAAAATCAGGTGAGAAAACATAGAGCATGAATTTCAAATGCAGCATACAAACTAACCCTGTCATGCTAAGAGGCAGATAAACTAAAAGGTTTCGAATGAGAATAGTCTATTCTATGCCCTACGTTTGTCTAACTTAAGCATCATAATAGTGGGATTTCTCAACAACTTAAACTAGTGAGACAATTTTCATTCTATGCACATGCTTCGACTTCAAAACTTGCATAAATCTTAGAATCACTTCCTTTTCACTCTACACTTAATGCAAGTATGAAAAAAAAATACCAGATAAGAGGAAATGGAAGCTCTAACTGCTTAGACAGAATATAGTAACCACTGAACAGAAAGTTATAACTGCTAAACTGCCTATTTGCCATCCACTACTCTGGTAGTTTCCTATAATTATCTGTAATCAATACATAACCATTTATATTGAAAAGCTTTCTAGTTTCCCACATCAACCATTGTGAAAATTATCTCCACAATAATAAAATAAGACATTTACATAATATTTCCATCACACAATGGGCATCGGACAATAAGCTAACCTTGAAGTATCGAAAGAATGGTGTTTTAACAAGTTCCTGAAGTAATGGATGTAATACTTCCTCATTAAGATGGTCTACAGTCTCATAATCACAACAACAGTCCTGTACAATACCGCTATACTTGTGTTTGCCCTGCACAAATTGAAGAAAACAGTCATTGTCATACAAACAAAATGTCAACCACTTCATCATTCAACCTAAAAAAAAGGAGGGAACAAAAGGACAAATGACAACACGTTTCAATGAATTCATAAAAAGGCTGCTTAGAAATTCAGAAATCAAAAGGGGGGATCACATAAATAAATAAATGCGAAACTGGGTATTTAAATTTGGACCAATGTGACTCAAAGGAAAGTAAGAAAAAAAAATAAAACCTTTCTCCCCATTTCAATCTAAGTCTCCGCCATTTTTGAGTTCCCAAATAAAACTAGGCAAACGGTATCACTTTTCAATGATTCATTTATACATTGCCAACAATTTATAAGCAAAAGGATAAATTCAGAAGAATTCAGAAATGGGCAGTTGAAATTGGCGCCAACAGAACAAAATCAAAGTGAAAAAAAAAAGAAGAAGTAAACTTCATTTTTCATTTCGTTCCAAAGATTATTTCCATTTCCTAAGTAACCAAACAAAACGGAATGGGTAAAAAGAGAGAGAAAGCGAAACCTGAGAACAATAACAAGACTTGTTAGTGTCTCCAAACAGAGAGATCTTTAGTGTACTTTTAGAAGCCAAAGCTATTGCAACAACAATTGTAATGAAAGCTCCAATCACCCATCTCCGCCTCATTTTCTCACTCTTCTTCCCCTTCTTAACCTCTGATTCCACCATCTGCTACCTTTTCAACAAAGCAGAAAAAGACCCAGATTGCTAAAACACTGAAAAAACTTGATGGGTTTTTTGCAATGAAAAGAAAACAAGAGAAATTCGGGACTATTTTTCAAGAATAGAATCGTCAAGGTTAATAGATTACTGGGTTTTATGGTTGGGTTATTTAAAGGGAGATTTTGGGGTTAAGAAAGGTAAAAAAATCTATGATTAAAAGGGGATCAAGGTGGAGAGGAAAGATGATGTAAAAAAATTGTGGGCGTTTTGCTCTCCTTTGATGGTTTTTTTTTCTCTGCCTCTCCTTTACAGTTTCAAACCATGGGCACGCACTGAGAAAATCAAAGGGGTAGGATTTGGTCATTGAAGGTGCACCCAAGCTAAGTACTGTATTAATTACGTCATCAAGAAAAGATGGTGGAAAGAGGGACAGGAACCTTCCTTTGGAAGGGTTTATTTCAACGCTTTTAGTGGAAGACTCGGCGTTGACCTTAGTCAATATTAAAAAATAAAAAATTGCACTACTGAATTCGAAAATAAAAAATTAAACACGCACTTATCAATAATAAATAAATAAAATATAAGATTCAAATTTATTAATTTACTTATGTCAAAGTGTATCTCTTATAAATTGTGTTACAATTATCAAAATATTATGAAAAACTCATACTTATAAGTGAAAGATCTTTATGTAATTTTTTTTATTAGATAATTGTAAAATTATAACAAGAAGAATTGCAAGTGAAATGCTTTAATTTAATTTAATAAATTAAATTTATCACATATTTCTAAACGAGCATAATTTTCTATATTATATTTTTTAATTTAACTTAAAAATGATTTAAAGAGAAACTATTTTTTTAACATTAACTTTTGATTAATTTTAAATGAAAAAATAGTGAAATTATATTTTTTCAAATATAAGTCAATTTATCACACTAAGCATAAGATCCGAATTAAAGTGATAAATTGTGACTTTATTTCATATATAAGCAAACAGACAATTTTGTTGCAAATGGAGAACGAGGGTTCAGCCTTTGGGCTAGGCTCAATATTTGATGTTGGGTTAAGATTTTGAGCCAATCATGTTTGGGCTAAGATCCGACACGGCTCCATAAAGCTACAACTAACTATTAGTAGTATTGTTCCCAATACCAAAAGAAACTACTAATAGTATATTATATTATAAAGAAAGTTAATTTTTAAAAATTGTTTTTTTTGTTATTTTTAATTATCAAGATAATAAAAAGGAATAAAAACAATAAGTAATGAGAAGTAAATTATTTTAAGTTATTTTTTGTCTAATTGGCCATGTGGTTAGTTGGGATGAGCTTTAACTTTGTATTAGATTTGAACCATCAACACCCTTAAATGTATAAGGTAAAATTTTCGGACAGTAAATTGAAAATCTGTATTAAAAGCATAACAAATAAGCCTGAACCGCCCTCTTAACAATACAGTCTCAATTCATAAGATAACGAGATAAAGAGAGCAGAAAATTCTTGGGGTTTTATGATCAATGAAATACGATTCCTGTTTACTACTTTTTCTCGTCCTTGGTTCTACAAAATATCACTTAAAGGCTCCCTGACCGTTGTCCATAGCAGTCAAAGTGTCAGACGAGTTTGACAAACAGTCAATGAAGAGAGAGTGGATGAAGGGTTCATGATTCTGTTGCTGCCATTCTGCTTCAGGAAATAAGAAAATCATGGTCAAGTTTTACTTCGCTCGACAATCATATCTTTCTTACTCATGATTTCACATAGGGATTTTTTTTCATAAATCCCGGAAAACCACATGGAAAATGATTGCTTTCACCATGTAATCATTTTTCCTGATGCCTTTTGTCTGCTGCTTCCATCTGCTTCTTCACCCAACAATACCCAATGCCTTCCTCTCCCCTCTCTCTCTTTCTCTTTCTCTCACAGGATAATTAATAAAACATGATAAGTTTCCAGAATCTCAGCTCTTTATTTATTGGAACTTAACTCATCCAGCCAGGACAACGTACAGTACGGAAAAACCCTTTCACTTCATTAATTCAAGTTGTGGGGTTTTTATGTCTTGAAAATTAGACCTAATACTGATGAAACTAATGATGAACTTAAACGAAATCACCTATCAGAAACTAGATTATGACACCCATCATATGTTGTTAAGGAAACATTCACAGATAAACTCCATCTTCACTCGGGTGACGGGTAGTAGCCTAATTGTTCAATTTTTTTTTTTGAGGAAAGGGAGCGTACTCGATCATGTTAATGGAGAAACAAATGAACTGAGAATAGAGCATTGTCATCTACCACAATCATGTTTCATCCCCCAAATCAATGAGCCCTGCCCCTGCCTCACAGACAACATCACCGCGTCTTTTTGTTCTGGAAATCGAATCTCAAACGGGTAAAAGTAAACTTCCCAAAATAAATATAGCATGGGAAAATATATGGTCGAGAATCAATTCATCAATAGAATCATCTGGACATTGCCAAAGGCTCCACTCTGTCTAAACTTCAACCAGAGACATCAACGATCAATTTGTGTATGCTTAATCAAATTAATTATCCAAACGCCTGTACTAATCAAACATATTTTTCAGATTAAACTGCTTTAAATGGAAGGAACTCATCAGTCCGGAGAATGCAGAAGGCCAAAAAAAAAGTTCATTTATTTCAAGCCCATTTGATAGCACTGACAACCTAGATAAGAGAGAGCAGGAGGGTGGGGGGTTTCTTTATTCAATTATTTAATGTTGATTAATCCTGGGCATCATTTCCTGGGAAAATACCGTTAGTCAACCGAGTGACTTCGCATGGCATGCATGCCATCGGCATTTGTTGTAAGGAATATGATGTGTCACCATTTTGTTCCCCCACTGAGATGGATCTTTGTATTATTTTTTTTCCTCTTCTTTTATTCCATCGCCGGCAATCACTTTATCATATGTTCTATGCGTGCTTTTAATTTGCAATGTGGAAAGAATTGAAGATTATGTATTGAAAAATCGATTCAGAAGACAGAAAATTAAAGAAGCATAAAAACGTATCGTTGAGTCATGGAATTTTCTAAGTAGTGGTTAGTAATAAGTTTAAGCTGTATAATATGAGAATCTGTCTACTTTAATGCTCAGGACAAAGAAGCTGACAAGCCAAGAAAAAAGCTCAGCTCACATTGGCGTCACCCCGTACTCTGTACAGCAACCCTAGAGAGCTAACTAGTTATAATTGAAACAGAAAGCCTACACACAAATTGAAAACCCCTCCATTTTAAAGGAAAAACAAGCAACGAAAAGGAGATAAGATCAAAGAGCAAATCATAATTCATAATTTAATATAAACATAAAAGTTGATAATAAATAAGAGTTAGGCCTAGCCAGACCAGAATATTCCGGTGACTAGTATGAAATAGGAATGTTGAACGAGAAAATCAGAGCCAAAGTGCACCAGCTTCTTTGAGGAGAGGGACCAATGTGCCATTGATGTGGCAAGCCATGAGTGTTTCAATGCCACCAAGGAACTTGCCACCAACAAACACTGCAGGAACGGGCTGTCGACCATCGGCGGCTAGCTGAAAGAGGACAGCTTGGATGTCAGGGCCGGAGACGTGGTGGTCGAGCTCGATGATGGTAGGGCCGACTCCGAGCCCGAAGAGGAGGCGTTTAGCCACGGTGCACATGCAACAGCCACTCATGCTGAACAGAACTACTGCGTTGGTGGAAGCCAGTTGTCTCACTATCTCGTATGGATTATCAAGCTTCATTGTTACTGATGCCTCGCTGTCTAGTGCTATGTTGTTCGCCATTGGAATCTCAGTTTTTTTTGCCACCTGCATCTTTGGGTTTGATCACAACAGCAAAAGATAGTAGAACAAGAAAAAGAAGAAGGAGGAAATGTGATGAAACCTAAAAGGTAGATGAAGCTAAAGGGAGGTGACAAGGTTTTTTTAAGGTTGAAGAGAGGAGGGGGATGGTCAAACCTAATAAATTGAAGCAGAGGTGAAAAAGAGTGGGAAATGAAAAGGGCGTTTGTGGGTATTCTGAAACAGAGTAGAAATGTTAAACGAAACTGACACAGTGGGTAATATAGAGTAGAATTGACTCTAGCACTTTTACATTGTATACTTATATAAAGTAGTACAATATATACATATTTGAATAAAAATGAAACATTCTACGCTTGCTATTACTGCATAAACTTTGCTGATATTTTTATAGAACCAAGAAAGTATAAAAACAAAGAAACACCTAGAGAGATTATCAAAAAGATGAAAAGGAATATCAATCCTGAGAAAGAGCGGAGAGGTACCTGAAACTGAGCACCCGGCAAAACCTGACGGGGCTTGACTTCTGCCAATCTCTTCCAAGTGTACGGAGACAAGTCAGTGTTACGCCCCTCTAAATCATCTACCTTCAGAGGCAGGCATGCCTTCTTTGACGTTGCAGAGAAAAAAAATATATGCACCACTCACTCGCTATATATATATAATATATATAAATATCAATTTGAGTTTTTATTTCTTTATATATATATATAACACAAACAAAACCCCTTAGTTTTTCAAACACGCTGCCTGCAGTCAAAGAATCAAGAATATCAATGTTGAGATATATATACTTACACAAAAAAGAGCAACAAAAAGAAAGATGAACAAAACTTTCATGCAGGTTTCAGAGATTAGTGTGTGAAGGATGGGGTGGGACCCTTTATTAGAAAAAGTACCAAAATATCCCAACAGAAAAGGATTCTTGTAAGCTAGTCGCTCACGCCAATATCAGAACTCATCAGAAAGGAACAACCCTAGCAACAACAAATAATATCCTCATAGACTGATTGGTTTTTTTCTCTTTAAACGCGTGAGCCTTGTAGTACGGCGACTTGTTTCGGTTTCAGCAGGTAAAGGGAAAAGAAAACTGTTGCATTTTTCTCTTATTTTTTATGCTTTTCAAGTGAAACTGAAAAAAGAATTAAATCCTAAACAGGGAGTAGCAATAAATAAGGGTTTTTCTTTTATGGGTTTGTGTGGAGAGGGAGAGGGGAAAGGCAGCGGTAATAAGAGGTGATTACATGAAAAAGGAAACCGACAAGCCGACATAGAACGACTGAAACGCCGTCGTTGGGAGGGTCAGTGAGTCGCTTTCTTTCTCTCCTCAGAGTGGCAGCAGGGTGTTTGTCCTTTGCTTACTGTGACGCAGTCAGGTCATGCCTCTTATTTAACCTCAGCCCCATCCCTAGCCTTAGGATCCCATATTTCTTAGTTTACAGTTTTCTTTTCCAGATTTTAATTATAATATTTACACTTGAAATAGTTTATTTTATTTAGAGAAGATAATTATATCGAGCACAAAAGCAAATATCCAGATGTAAATATAAAATAAATTTTTATTTTAATTTTCTAGAAAGAATAGTAGTAAGATGTTCTCCGACCCATTTATACTTTCTTTTTAATTAAGTAACCCAATTATATATTTCATTATGGCATGCATTTGTAAAACCAAAAAAGGGCTTCTGAGTGAACTCTCCAATTTGAACAGTTAATTTGTGGGTGTAGTAGCATTGGCATAATGATTTCACCTTTTCTTTTATGAGTTTTAACAAGGATGTTCAGATCAGATAATAGGAGTGATCATTATATATTGTAAATTACACTGCAAAATGTTTCACCTTTTATGGAAAAAAATGCAAGTAAAAACGACCGGTTTAATTCTAGTTTACTGGTTTGTATTTTTTTAACCTGGCAATGTACCTTTCCATTAAAATCATTATATACTGGTTTTTATATTGGAAAGTGCCATCATTTGTAAATCAATATATGTTTAAATATGATATAAATTTAAGCATACAGGGACTTTATTATTATTATTATTTGTTTTCTTTACAAACATGCTAGTAATCAATTTTAAGTTGTAAATCAATCAAATTGAAACATTCAAAATAAAAAAAATTAAAAAAAAAAACAATTTTATGCATGAATCACTACTTTTAACAGGGATAACATTGAGAGAAGTACATGTATATCAATGGATTGGAATCCATCATGATCATTAGCTTAGCTAGTTCAAAGGAGAAGAGGAAGGAATGAACCAAAAGAGGAAATAATTAATTACTAGTAAATGATCCTCGACGGGTCATCTCTCATTCAAAAGAGTTTCTTGATATCCGAATATCCTACCCCAAGCACCCCCTAGAGTGCAAGCAAGAAACTGATGTATAGCCCCGAAACAGGCTTCAAAAGGGTCCCTAAAGTAAACATTCCAACATGAAAAAGACGACTCTACGTTGTTCTTTAGCTTTCCCCACAAATTCAAAAGGCAATTCTCGTTTCTGTTTGCAAGAATTGCCGCTGACTGAAGATAAGCAGAGGCTGCAGACTTGACCAGTCGGTTCCTAATGATGATTTTGGAATAATCGAACTCATTTCCTTCTTGATTTGTCGAGCGGCAGGGGGTGGTGATGAACTCAAAATAACGTCCTTCAAGCTTGTGTAGCGGGGTTCATCTTCGATGTCAGGGTCCGTGGAAATCGAAGAATTCCTAGTGAATTTCAATAAAGGAATATTTTGTAGCTTTTCCAAATCTGCGCCCATGATTAGCCATGAGAGGTTGATGTGGTCGACAATGTGGGCACCTTAGAAGCAGGAAAACAAAAGAAAATTGTTGTATAAGTTCAAAGATGATCAAACATTTTCTCTTGGTTTCTGTTGATCAGCATGAACCTGGAAAGCGAAAGAGGAAAAGGCTCCAGGTGGAAAACAATTGCAAATTCAGATTGTTGCGTTAGCTTGTTTAACGCTTTTTGCTATAGAGAGAAAAATATTTTACGTAAAATTAGGTTTCTGTTTTTATGCAGGTAACGACATTTTTATGGGCAATCCTTTTATGTAGCCAATTGACACGGACAACTTGAAAAGATTGGTTTCTTTTCGAGCTTGCATTCGATCTCAACATAAACCCGTAAAATTTGCAAAACATCCCAATAATCTTTGGATTAATATTCGATACAGTGTCAACCTGATACATTATTAATAAAGTCAAAAAAATAAGATCTATATTTTATTTTTTTTAAAATGTCACCTCATTAATAAGGTGTCAAGATTTAATAACTTAATAATTCGTAAAAACTATACACTATCAGTACATCAAATACTTTTTTATAATCTTTAAATAAAGTGTCAACGTTTTTTGTTTCATTATCTCTAAACATTGAAATATAAGAGGAGAGGGATTTAAGATTCAATTTGTCTGTTATAAGTAAGTGTATATGTCAGAGGAAATGCTTAATTTTGCAAATCTATGGCCAAGTGTAAGCATATATTTTGTTAGGCGTGCTGTTGAGCATACAATGTGTAGGGTGTAACTTGATTTTAGCGTTGCAGAGTTTGGGCTGACTGATAAATGCATACGAGATGTGAAACGATTTTGGGTTAAGTTGACTTGAGGTTAAAATTATTGCATCAAGATGTATTTTGAGAATTTGTTTTCTTTTCATAATAAATTATTATGATTTTGAGGGAAATTATTTTTTTTATTTTATATAAAGTAACAAGATATAATGTTTAAAAAAGTTCTAAACTATTCAACAATATTCAAATAAGTCTTTTTTTATTATATTCAATCAAATTTTTATACTTTTATTTTAAATCAATTACACTCTTATAATTAATAATAGGTTAATTAATATTAATCAAAATACCACTTATCATTTTATATTTACATGATACTGATATGGCATTGATGTAAAGAATGAAAAATGTCACATGATCATATTTAGCGGTGGAGTTAGAATTTCAAATTTGAGGGAAAAAAACAAAAAATTCAATATTTGAGGAGACGAAACTATAAAATTTATAAAAAATTAAAGGTAAAATTATAAATATTTAAAACAAAACAAAGAAAAAATTATAAACTTTCGAAATTAGGGGGGACCCTAACTAACCCCCTCTCTTCGCCTCTATCATATTATTATATTAAATTAATATATCATGTTATCATCAATTATAATATGTCAATATACAATATCATCATCATTTATTATATATTAACATACCACATCAGTACTATATGGTATAGAATGATAAATAACATTTTGAATAGGTCAATTATTAATCATAAAAATATATTTGACTTAAAATAAAAATATAAAAAAAATTTTAAATTTTTTTAAATAATTTAATTTTTTTAAACTATTATATCAAGTAACAACAACAACAACAAATATTATATTCGTTCTAAGCATCATTGGGGACTAGAATTCTAAGTAGATTTTTTGCTTATGAAATGGGTGTCTCTTCATCATTTGTAACTAATGTGATCTAATCTCCTTTTTGTTTATTGAAAGTTGTCTTTCTTTTTATATATCAATAAGTAGAAATTTATTAAAAAAGTATAAAAATTGTACCAATAATAACAGTTTGATCTCTCATTAATTACTTATAACTCAAAATCCAAAACTAAGTTAAAGGGAAAGAAATCCAACAAAATGCCTTCCAACTCATTCAATCAGAATATGGAATACCGTAATCAGCATCTGGTTGATAAGGCCATGCGCATTTTCCCATTAAAATAATGGAATCAACCAAATTACTAGGACCTGAAACGCTACTTTTGCAATGGGTGAGAAGCATTTTTGACCATTGACTGTGCCGAAGAAAAGGAGTGAAATATTGGTTTGATTTACAAGCCATAACAGGAAAAATCTAAAGAATTTAAAAGCCTATTAATAAAAGCAAAAGCAATTTACCATCAAAAGAAGTAAAACGGAACAAGAAAAACCCCCAAAAGGTAAATGAAAGTTCTCAAAAACTAAAAACTAGTTTTATATCGAAATGTGAGTCAAGATCAAAGCCCTAATCTATTGAAACACATTGGAATAGCCTGTTGGTGTATTTTTAAAATTAAAAGTTATATCACATGATGAAAAGCTATTTTAGTTTAAAAGTTATATAATATAAAGTGATATAATGTATATATTGGATTATAGACAAGTTTTCATGTGAATGGTTATATCTCTTGATAAAATAATATTCAAATGTTATGAAATATATTAAAAAGATACTATAGTTCAAAAGTTAAATATGAAAAGTTATTATTTTATATTATAACTCAATGGTTATAATTTATGGAATGAATAATCTTTTCAAAAGATGATTATTAAAATAATAATTATATTTAAAAGTTATGTTAGGTAAAATGAAAAGATGTCTTTTAGATAAAATAGTGCCTTAATAAAAAGATTGTGTGACACACTTACAAGACTATATAAAGGGTTTGTTGCCAACCATTTTGACATATCAACATAAACACTAAAACAAAAGTAGAAATATCAAGAGTAAGAAAAGTATTTTGTTTTAATAACATAAACACTTAAGTTCTTATCAATTACAAAAGCTTTTAAATTTTTTATAATCTACTTGTTACAGAAAATAGAT